CAATATAATGTTTGTGTAGCAATAATACACATGACATCTTTTTTGCATGTCTCCAGTACCGATAAAAAGACCGTTAACGTTAAAAAATATTAAAGTTTAACAAAGAAAAAGGAATAAATGAATTGCCCAAAACCAATTTAGGTTGTCTAAAATATTATCTGACTGACATTTCTATCTGATCCATCTGGATAGGTACACAATACAGGATTAAACTTAATAAAGAATCATGAATGTGCTGTGAACTACCTTCTAAATAGCCTTCAAAAAGGCAAACCATTTTTTCCAGGACCGCATGGGCTACCAGTGGCAGCTCGAAGGGGCACTGGAGCTGGGCTGTCCAGTTCTTATTTTCATTGTGGTACTTCCCCCAGAAGAGGAGAGGAAAGTACCCAAGGGCCTTCAGTTTTTCGACATTAAAAACAAAGAAAAACATATAGACAAACATCACACAAATAGATACAGACAGAGATAGATTTTCCAGGCAGCGTTAAAAAGGCATTATGCGTGAACGCCCACCAAGAACACCTCAACGCCCCCCTTTCAAAAATATTGCTTCCAGCGCCCCCCGATGTTCTCTGAACGCCCCCTGGGGGGCGGTGCTGCCCCCGTTGAGAACCAGTGCTCTAAAGAGACAATTGTGTTCCTGTTCTGTTTTTTCATTCATTAGCATCTGCCATGAAGTTATATTCACTCTACCACATTACGAGTGAACCACAGGAGACACCTCTTAACCACACTGCATTGGCCGTCGGCCATGTTTTTGTGGTGTGTCCCGCATCATTGGCATTTTTTGCCATTCCCAACAACCTTTGCTGATGATTCAACATGTTGAATTGGCAGCAGAGCTGTCTGCAAAATAAGCTAGTTTAAGGAAATCTGTGCACAAGAAGAAAAACGGACTTGAGGAAAACTAACTACTACAGTCCAAAGGCTCACACAAAGTCTTTTCATTTGTTATCTCATCTGGTCGTTCTATTACTCAGATATTCCCAACATGAAGCTGAGTGGAGAGTGTTGTGAAAATGTTTTAAAGAGTGTATCACAAACATTGCCTTTATTTCTAGAGCCTTATGTATTTTGTTGTCCCTTTTGAAATGAGGAAGACATACTTCTGCCTACTGCTGTTATGGAGAGTAAAATCCTCTTATGCAGGTGCAGAGTGTAAGTGAGAGTTGGCAGTAGGTTTTAATCTGTGTGGTGTTTGAACTTCTGGCTTAAACGTAGGCAACGTGAGGATACCATACGTCGCTACTAGTTCTTTGATGTTGGTTGGTGAGTCAGAACATTTAGTCTAAAATTGCTTTGGGGGGTGGGGATGAATGGCAAACAATGTTGACAGGGCTAAAGTCAATGTATCGTTTTTTATATTTATACTAGCTAATTATTGAAATATTGCAAATGCATTTGGGTTAATGAAATCTTGACACATAATTGAATGACATTTCAAAAGTTGTTCCTTCCCTGTACAATATAGATTCAATTAATATTTCTCTAATGTTGTGGGACAGTAACCTTCAATGGCTGACCAAAATAAAATAAAATGTTTATTACCACCAGGGCAGAATTATCGAATATCTTCGATTGATTTCTCGACCGGTGTACTTTTTGGGTCCAGTCTTTTGCTTTCTGCCGGAAATCCTTCATACGGGCCGTGTGCCTTGATTTCAGCTCCAACATCTTCCCACACTGAGGAAGTGAGAGGGAAAGAGGGAGTAGGAAGGACATACTTACTTTTTCTGATAGAAAGACAGTTATAAACAGTTGGGAAACAAAGTATTGCTTATTTCTTTCTTTTAACCATATATATTATAATATAATATAATACTTCCCAAAAAAATGAATCGGAAAATCAATTAAATTCAACTGATTGTACAGACTGACAAAATATGCTACCGAGTAAATGTACCGGATCATTTATTCAGCAGGCTAACCAAGTTAGGATATCTAATTAACAGTATACAGAGGGGCCACATTCACTTTATCTAACTATTTGTAGCAATTCATATTTTAATTGACACTATGAATGTCCATTATATGGCCTCATATATAATCATAATAAAATATTATTCATTTTTTTAAATCAAAATATTGTTATTTAAAAGAACCAACAGTCAAACTTTTCAATGGAACAGGCACATGCAGTAAATGTAATGTTCTAAAAAACACCTATACTGTGATGCACATTTGTGGAGTGACAAAACTCTTTCCGGCTTTTGTTAGAAAAACTTAAAGTCACCACTTTGTTCGCCACTTTTATTGTATTGGGTTTTGCAGAAAACAATGAGATATTTATAGGCAAAACTAACTGCCATTTATGTATGAAAATGGCTTTGTCCGAGAGACAGTATAATAGACTGTATTATGAATACTTTAGTAGACATATATATATAGTTATATTTACCTTTGTGCATCTACGATTTGCGCAGTTTGATTTTTCCAAACAATGGGGGCACTGTCTTTTTGTGGATCCACCTGGCATCGTTGCTACATTATGAACAAAACAAAAACATCACATGTATCACATATAGTTATTGGCATGACACAAAACTAAAATTCTTCCATATAACCATGTATGATTACTAAAGTCAAATGATATAATCCAAATGATGTTGATTGAATTCAACTTCAAAATAATGTTAAGTGTGATATCAAAGTTCAATTAGTAGCACTTTAAAATTCACAAATTCCAGTGTAATATCATAAATAACTTTCAATTTCTGGTAATAGTCAGTACGTATTGTGTAATCTTTTTTTGGCATGATAAGATGTTTTCTATTAGCTATCATCATAAACCTCAAATCATGTTTGTTCATAAAATGTATCTGTTATTGCGTGATATAATGCATGTTTTTTGAGATAGAGACTCTACTGTAGTCAAACTAGTACTTAATATTAAATTGCTCTTATGTTCCTGAAGTAAATATTCATATATTCAGTTTTATTCATAATTTTCTTTTCGATTTTTATTATACAGTAATACACATTTTTTTATATTTCTATTATTCAGATACTCTTTCGAGCTACTGTTGATATGAATATATTTGATGTTTATGCTAATTATTTGTATTGTATTTTGTATTTTATATTCCTCCTACATATTTTTTATTAATTTGTAATGTCCAATAACACTGGGCTACAACAAAATAATTTCCCAATTTGGGATGAATAAAGTATCTATCTATACACTATTCGTTTAGGTTAAAAGCACGACATGTACATATGATTTAAATTATAAATTACATATCCATATAGGCCTACTCCTAAACTCACAGTTTATGTGGACCGGATCGTGTATCGGCTAGTAATGTCTGTTTAAATATCAATGGACAAATATCTGAGCAGACCTCAGATTGGCTCGAAGAGTGAATATAAGCTTAAAAACCCGAAATACTGATCTGGATTCAGTAAAGTATTATGTACGATAATCACCTTAAACAGGGATACCAAGTGACATATAAGACTTACAGATGTATGCATTAACATGCCTTTTCCCCCAAACATGATTTATAAGAAGTAAATCGCCACTCATTTGGGATTAAATCAGGTTGACAAATGCGTTTAAAGCGGGTTCAGTCGGCTACCATTACTTAATAACACTAACACAGTCTGTTCGTGTGTGGTGCTGTCACAGGCTAAGTAAAAAAAAACTGAAGAACCATGTCATAACATGATCAACTATGTTACTATCGATTGATTTTAAACTGCAACAGCTCCGTAAAACGACAGACGTTAGCTAAGGCTAACTCAATGATGCTAACTGAGGAGTTCACGGTTTAACTAGCAAATAATTTGCACGCGTAAGCTTGTATGTCGACACATGGTGCTGTGTAAAGTGATGCAAAAGCTGAAATCATTTTAAAAAACACTGTAAATGTCTTTATTACATTACAGAAAACGGGTTTACCTCGAGGAACTCCGTGTCAAGGAGGGTTCAATGTCGTCGTCGTCTTCTTCTTCTTCTTTTAATGGCGAATCGCCTTCTCGAATTGGACTGCGCTGCATCCAGTGGACCTTTAACGAAACGTGCTATGTGGGAAAAACCATATCCCAGCGTGCATTTCGGCTACAACATCCAATCATCGAGCTTGAACCGGGCCTACGTCTGTTTCCGGTGACTTTATTTTGAAAATCAGTTCCTGACGGACGGCTAAAAAGCCCAATATTATAGAATTAAACGAATAACTAAAAACAAGGATAATAGTGTGTTATTGTTGAGTAAATAACAGTGTGTTATTTAGAAAAGGATAACAAATTCGAAGGAAAAAAAGATTAAAAACAATACAGATTTCAGTATTTTGAGGCTCTGAGCCCCATTTATTTTCCTCACGGACGGCAAAAAAAGTCAGACATTATACGATTACAAATAAAATCAATAATCGTGGCTTGATATTGAGTAATAACATGTTTTTATGGACCACACAGCTTCCGGTCTTCTTAGACACGACCGTATCCATTTGCGTCTCATATGCACGCAAAACTCGGACTCAGAATTCAATGGGAATAGTTGGCGTATGATAGGCACGCAAAATCGGACTTTAGCGTATATCTATTGCACGCATTTTCCAATGTGTAAAGTCGTGTCATTTGTACGCAGACTGAAGAGAGCGGGTTGGTGAAAAGGGCTGGGCTAGTGTAGAAATTGTCACAGTATACATGGTAACCAAAACCCAGGTAATCCTTTTTCACTATTGACATCAAACATCAAACAGCGGTCGCGGTACTTTATGTTACGTTAGAATGCTAACTTTTGGTGAATTTAGGAGAAATCTACAGACGCAAATAGACAAACTATAGTAAAATAAACACTTAAATGTGTATTTTGTATGTTTTCCTTCCAAAAGCCTGAAAGAAAACGTTATGGAATCAAAATTGACCAGTGCACGAAAAACTGTGTTTTTGCCTGCCGTGTCTCGCCTTAAGTATCATAAACATGTTTACCACAAATCTTTTTTTCTGCAATATACTGAAATCCAATGGGAAAGTCCCATTTCTTTATATAGACGGAGACCTTAAGTTGCTTACTTCCGAGGTGTCCTACACAAATCTGTTATCACTGTAACTCTCCATGTTGTTCTGTGTACATTTCTAAAGGGAATGGGAAGATGTTTCACCCACTTTTCAAAAATCACATCTGTTTCAGGAATCTGTTAAGCCCCAAGGTCCCCGCCGGCGGGGAGCTTCTAGGGGGATCGTCTCACCGTAGCTGTTAATCTGATCAAAAGACGTGTTCAATGGCATTAAAACGAGAAAAAACGCGGCTGAATCGGTTAATCCATAGGTTGATAAAGTTTCTGGGCAATAATTTGTCTTATTTATAATCCATAATTCAATTTTTATGTAAAAATCGCAGAGCAAAAGTTAGCTGCTAATGGTAGCCACCAGAGTGGCTGCTGCTTCTGGTCTTGGCTATGCATCAGTCTAACACACGCACATGACCAAATAAGGACTATGTGGGAATTCCCCTCGATTCCATTGGCTCTGACGGTTAGAAAGAGATGTCACATGTCAAAATCCAGCAAGGGGAGTCAGAGATATGAAAAATCCACCGAAATGGCACAAGAAGAGTTTTTTTTTTGCTAAATCCTTCTAAAAAGGTCAAATATCACTTGTTTTGCCTCAATCTTGATACAGGGTACTTATTATATGTTGTACTTTGGATCCCTAAAGCTTTTAGTCTACTAACCCATCATCCAAGGTTAGTTTTCACTATAAGTACAAAATATGTTTTGGACGGACACTATAATTTACAGTTTTTTACCATGTTCAATCTGAATTTTCTTTAAAATAAAAAACATCTATTGAATCTGACTTTTCTACATCCAACTGACAGGTTTATCATTACTTTGAGAAAAAAGATTATTAATTTAACCCTTTTAGAAGGGAAGATATGGTCATTTGTTCTGGGAATATCATTTTCGAGCCTGAAACCTGAAAAACAGGCTCGGGGTTTAACAGGTTAACCATCTTACTTTTGTTCATTTTTTGCCCTTCATGTTGCACAGTGTTACATAGAAAAGGTTACTTCTGGGTATTTTTTTGTATGTGTGTGTGTCTGTATATTTGTGGGTGAGTGAAAGAGAGAGTGACAAGGGGCCCTAATGTTGAGTGACGTTGGGGAGGAAGAGAAATCCCACCATGATACAGAGTCCCTTAGGCTTCATTGATTGAAGGGTGGCGCACACACACACACAGACACACACCACAAACATACTCTAAAATACACTGATGCAGGGACACACAAAAATGACAGGGACACGTTCAAGTATACACACATGCACTTCAAATCACTTCTCTTCTGACAAACACACACCCAGTCACGCCATGCTGCAGATTATTATTTATCCAGTTTGTATTCCAGTGAGCCTGTAAGAAGTGTCAGACTGATTACATGCTGACAGGCTGACAGACAGAGTTGTGTGTGTGTGTTTTAGGTTGTGTATAAATGGTCACATTCCAAACGCTTTGGTGGTCAGTAGATCGCTCATTAACGTTACACTATTTCATTTTTTATTTCATTTGATTTGATTTGTTTATTTAGCAGGGACTGTGAACATTTAAAAACATTTCTCTGAATGCACTGGAGTTAGCCAAGAGGTTTTTGTTCACCCCCACAATGAATATCGGCCAATCACGTTATTGCTTGATTTGCGGGACCAGCGT